CATTTGCAACAAAAAAGCATACACACATGCTAACTTCATGCTAAAATGCTTACTCCTCCTCCTGCATGCTGTGTACAGTCAACACAAACACACACCACACTGTACACAGCATGCAGGAAAACATTCAAACAGATCTTCCATATTGGGACTGCGTCAAGTGTTTTTAAGATAAAACTAGACCACCAAAAAGTCTTTCTGCACGCGTTTCTAATCTAAGATCTCCTGTACCAACTAGTGTCACTGGTAATCTACTTTCTGTGTGGGCTGATACATCACATACAGCATGTCACGCTACACAAGCAGAAGTGAATAAAATATCACCTCTGACTTCATCTATTAAAGACAGGACAGATACATTTATATTCCTTTTAACCACTGGCCCTTGTGTTATTCATGATTCATTAAGTTAGAGTTCAAGAGAACAGAGGCTGTGGAGACTGAATTAAGGCCACTGACGTATCCTTGGACCTCATCTGTAAGTTCATGGTGTCTTTCTCAGCTTGAAAAATCATTCCCTCTCCTTTTATTAGAACAGCTAATTAGAGAACAAACAAAATGAGAGTTGCCAATCAGGAGCAAACTGATCAACTGTTAAGAGTGAGTCATCACAACAGAGAGAGAGAGTGAGGGAGAGAGGCCTGATAAATAAAGAAGCTCATTACTATCTAGCTTGTTTCCTTCAGGAGGAAATAATGAAGCAGAACATTATGGAAGCAGTTGTTGAAACAAGCAAAAACACTGTCTATTGTGTTAAGATAGTTACAGATAGATAGATACACAAAATGAATGAGAGAAATACATTTTGTCATACTTCAGAAAGTAAGAGACGTTGTCATTAGGTCTGCAATGGCTGTCTATTTATGTGTGTGTGTGTGTGTGTGTGTGTGTGTGTGTGTGTGTGTGTGTGTGTGTTGGGGCCGGGAAGGTGGCTGGAATTTGCTGCGCAGTGTTTCCATTAGTGATCATCTTGCTGCTGAGAACACGATGTACCATTGATAACATTAATTCATGCTCTATACCACGCCATATTTACCATGACCATAGAGAGCGTATGTTATCAAACTGACCGTAGAGAAAAATGTGTACAATAAGATGAATCTAATGTATTAGATAACATGTATTTCAAGGTAACACACTCAAAATCAACTTTATCCCTGACCTACATGCTGACCCTCAAAGTGTGAAATGGATAATGCACCAGTACAAAATGATACTGCTGAGTCACTCCAGCTGTAGTCTACTGATAGGTGTTATGTAGGGCAGACTGTACAGTTCACTTCACTTCACAAGTAGGATGGAAACACAGGGCACGGGGCCCAAGTTTGCACAAAAAGCCCTCACTTAGGTGCCACTTCCACCACCCTGTCACTTCCAACTTCTGCTCCTTATCACACTGTGCCTTTCCTCTGGCTGAACAATATTATACTTTCTTAACAATGTTTCATTCTTTTCAATTTCTTACTTTTCAAGCCTCTCCCTTTCCCTTTGTGACTTATTTCCTGTAAGTCATTATTTATTCTCCCAGTACTATGGTCACTGTTTTCTATTGCTTCAGTATTATTATTTCACACCTAGTCTCCTTGTGCTTCGGGTCTGAACATTCTGTCTTGTTATGGTGTATGTTTGCTCAGAGTCGATAAATCAGCTTAATGAGCTCTGTTGCTTTTCACCATTGTCTTTTCACACTTTCTACTTCTCCCTCTCTCTCTCTCTCTCTCTCTCTCTCTCTCTCTCTCTCTCTCTCTCTCTCTCTTCTATCTTGCACATCTGTCTCCATCTGCTCCCTCCTTGGTTTGCGTTTTCCAACCATGTAAGCACATTCCAGTCTGCGGCCAGGGCAGAGCTCCCACAGTAAGAACAGGTTCCTAAAGCCAAATGGAGACTAAAAGGCAAAGATGGCAAAATGCTGACTGACTGTTTGGCTTGCTACCTCTAAGAAGAAGCAGAAAGAAGAGCAGAGCAGGAACAAGATATCCATAGTTACTGTATGTGTGCATGTGGTTGTATTTGTATTTGTGTAAGCATGCATGAATGTATATGAAAGCCTTTGCAGAAACACATGAGAGGGTCTCTGCTAGTGAGACGCTACATGAGGTCATAGGTGTCTTTCTTTCTGGCGGAGCTAAGAAGTAAACAAACAGTTTAACCCCCAGTAGTGCAATTTCTGCACAAAAACTTGACACGATTGAGCTACTGTTCTCTACAGCAGGACAGGCTGCTGTTTACATTTGATCAGAGCTGGTTCCTGGTGTGAGAAGACAAACTGAGAGGAGAATGTGGGTTCAACAAAAACAGAAGGGCAGAAACTCAAGACGGTGCTGACATTACTGTCACAGAGAGGTCAGCAGCTGTAATAACAACATGTTGCAATAAGTGTGTGCTGAGCGCTCACAAACACCCTATATACAAGTAATGTGTGTCTGAGCTAAGTGTGAACATATAGTTTTGTGTACTTTTGTGACAACAGAAAAACAACGAAGAACTATAAGAAATTCATAAGTAAATACAGAAATTTACAAATAAAAGTGGTGGAATAAGTATACAACAATATATAAGAATACTCTGTTCCAAGCTAAAGTGCTGCATTCAAAATCTTAGTTTTGTAAAAGAACAGTAGTATTAGCATAAAAATGTACTTAAAGTGTCAAAAGTAAAAGTACTCATTCCGCTCAGAAAACTGCCACTGTAACAGATATATATTACATTATTAGATGTTAATATAAGCAATATTTCACTGTTGTAGCTGGTCAAGGTGCACCTACTTTTAACTACTTTATACACAGTTTAGTTCAGTGGTTCCCAACCTAGGGGTCAGGCCCCTCAATGGGCCACAAGATGAATCTGAGATGATTAATGATTTAGGAAAGAGGAAAAAACTAAGTTCTGCTACACAAATTTCAGTTGTTTAAATGTAACCATCTGAGAAGTTTAGAGGGGAAATGTCTCTTTGATGGAACTTAAACAGCTCATATACATCTGAAATGTGACAAGAGACAACTAGTCTCCAATACAACTGTATCCAATGTGTCCTCTTCTGTACAGCTACAAATTGGGAACAAATTCTTTCTAATAATAAAATATTCTAAACCAAATACATCAAGTTGATGTCTTTGATATGTGCATAATGTAGGCATAAAAAATACATCTTACAAAACTAGGCACAAGAAAACTAACTCAGTTCTGATCCATTGTGAATAACATGAGTTTGCATTTCAAGGCTATTGATAACGAGGCTATATGAGAGCAAAGTATAAACATGTGTCTGGCATCCGAATAAAGCAACTGCACAGCTTCAAACACAAAAAGTACATAATGCAGCACTCTGCAATCAAATCTCATCCATCACATGTATTTGTTTATTTCCACATTCCTGACCAATCAGCGATCAAAGTGCAGTCAGGGAACACTTGGAGCCATAAAAATGGAACAATAATAGTTATTCATTCAACTCTGCTCTGTTGAAAACTGAAAGTCTGCTCACTTCTGTATCAAAAGAACATCATGTCTTGCAAACACACCTAGCGGGTTCAGTGGGGGGTTTTGATAAGGGCTTACTGATGTACTCTGAATAGGTACTGTTGTAAATTTTGTTTATTTTGTTTATGTTTTTTGTGCTGGCACACCTTACACTGGTCACAATGGCAGAGGTTCAAGCCTTCCTGAGGTACAGGTACACAAACACACTGATACACTTGATTTCACTGACGTCAGAAGTCCTGTTCTATCTCGCACAGCCCTGCAAGTTTTACATGTGGGCTTCTCACAATCACAGACACAGATAAGTCCTCAGCTTATCTCATCAGTTTTTGCTGCAATAACGCATTTTGGAAATCTTGGCGACCTAAACATTCATTGTCATCAGCTATCCCACAGGTTCTGCACGAACCGTGACAGGATGGGAATGTCAAGGTGAATCTCACACTACTAGATTCATGAGTGTGATTAAGGGACCCATCTTAAGAAAATAACCATGGAGTAACGAAACAACACATGATGAATAGTCTTCATTTAACTTATTTAAAGTTAATATGTAAAAGAGCCTGCAAAACACATCAAAATCAAAAGCTTTTTTATGATTGTTGTTTTTGCCTGACCACTGTATACTGCAGAACTGAAAATGAGGCGGGTTGTTGCAACAGTGCCTTCGGCTTTTTAAACCAACTCTGACAAATTGTAGATAAGTACAGGGACTGAGCAGAGGCGTAGCCTGAGCAAGGAACAATAAAATATTATAGACCTTTCTCTAACATTTGTTTTATTCCCCTTTGGACTCTGGACATGTTGAGACAAAGCCAATGCTGATATATTACTCTGTCAAAAGAAAAAAGAAAGAAAAGAAAAGTGCAACTAAATGGAGTACATAATGATTGTGTGCATGTTGTGTTCATGCTTAAGTATGCATGTGTATATGTGGTGGTATTGCATCATTATGTTTCCAAATAAAAACTAAAGGTTCAACTGTAAGTCAGTCAGAGTTGTGCTGAGAGAAAGTCTAAAGTATATAATGACATCATACTAAATGCTAAATGACCATTTAAATGGCCAGGATAATTTATAGCCTATTTAATAGTTATTAACAATATTTTACAAAAATTTCCTACCATAAATACCAGTGTGTACATGTAAATCCCATAAAAAGAGGTGCAAGTGTAGGAGAAATTCTTCCACAAAGTCATTATAAGTTTAAACATTTTAATGAAGTAATGCTGCTGCCCCCTCAGGGTGCAACCAACACTGATCCATGGCTGAATGAACTTCCCTGAATTCATTTTAATTCTCATTCATAAGCAGACTTTTCACAGTGCAGCTGTTCTACACAAAAATGGACACACATATTTACACCTCACACACATATTCACACCTCAAGGGAATTGTGCCACAGATACTCAGCTGGGACTTTTGCTGCTTTGAATAGTGTGTGCTGTGTCTACCTTTTCCACTGCACTTTCTCTTTCTCTCTCTCTCTCTCTGTCTCTTTCCCTTTCTCTTTGTCTCTAAGTAAATAAGGAGTTTTAAACGGACTGACTGTTTATTCTCTACTTTTCTTATTCTACATACAGTTCAGTATACTCTTGATCCGTGCCTTCCACACTGTCTCCCAAAGGAAAATGTTCCTGTCAAAGAAAAATCCTACAGGATGACCTTTAGCCTCTGCCTGGTTTTTCAAATGAGAACGTAGAGTGGTTTCCTACACAACATCAGAGGCCACACACAGCGTGTAGGCAAAACTGCTTGACAGCCAAAGGACTGGCACTAATTCAGGCTTTGCTTTGTCATTGGAGGGCCTGGACCGAGCAAAACAAGCTAAAGCCTGCTGATTCTCACCAATGGCCACTGATTGCAGCCATGATTCAGAGGGACTAAAGTGGTGTGGCTAGGATCTTCATGTGTGGGCAAAGTGACTGTGAGTGATACTGACCGAACTCTACGATGGTTATTTCTCCGCAAACAAGAATCTTGCATAAAGTTTCAGTTTGAGGCTGTTTATAAGTACAATGGCTGAATAAAAATCCAACCGTCAGCATTATTTCATTCAGAAAAGCAGGTATTGTTTTGTTTCTTAATCATGAATCCCTTGGGTACACACACCGCAGACAGAGACAGGGCCTGTAAGCTGAGCAAAATAGGGGCTGAAACTTTTATCCCAAAATAGGGGTGGATGCAGTCTAGTTCCTGAGGGCAATCTGGCAGCTGGTTACTTGTTTTTGTGGTTTGTATGTGTGCAGAGTGAGTGATTGTGTGGTTGTACATGTAAGCAGTTGTATCTTGAGTTCTAATCTTTTTGTGTACACACATATCTTTGCCTTTTAAAGTTAGTTTTAAAGCCCACAGAGCGTACATTCTATGCTTCCGTATAACTGCATTTATTTGTGTGTTTTTACGTATTTACAGCTGTGTTGGATACCTGTGCTGTTGGTTCGTCCACGGTAAAGGTCGTCGTAGGCCTTCCACTGCTGAGTAACCTGGTAGGCGTGGATGAATACGACCAGCACTGCAACCAGACAGATGAGAGGCACAAGTACCGCTGTGCACAGAGCTGCATAGATGTTCGGGATGAAGCATCTAGAGGAGGGACAGACAGAAATGTGAGTGACTGGTTTTTGTTTTGGCGTATGTAGAAAGAAGCAGAATGGAAAGAGAGATGGAAAGAGAGAGAGAGAGAGAGAGAGGGGGGAACCATGCCCATACTACTTACCTGTATTGCTCTATATTTAAATTAAGACTTTGTTTCTTCTACGTTTCACAAACAGGATCTGGCCAGTGAGACCTCTGAGCCTGGCTAAGACTCACAACATTCTTGCTCAACTGCCTTCAACAGCAAAATACGTATGTTCTTAAATCTTCTGAACAACCAGGTCACCCTGCAGCTACAGCGGGATAATAATTAAGGCCAAAGACGCTTAAAAGTTGTTTTCTATTTAAAGAATGAAAGAACATTTCAAAAAACAAACAACACCTCACAATACATTTGTTTCTTGCTTTGAAAGGGAGAAGAATATGGAGGGGTTATGTGAGTCCATCTGCTGATCCTGCTTTACAGCCAAATGAGAAACTTTAAACATTTTTTGGAGACAAATTGAATTTCAGGCTTAATACAAATAATAAAAGAAAACTTCTTTATCAAAGTTTTGAAAAAAAGTAAAATCAAGTTATGTCTCTTTCTACAATGTGTCTGTTGGTGTGAGTTATTTTTCATTCTCTATCTCTGAGTTGTTTGCCTGTAAAATCTCAGGAGTCCTTTCCCAGCTTCTGTCCAATTGTACATGTTTTTCTCTACTGATGTCGAATGATTTTTCTCTGGGAAACTTGGAAATCCACATATAAACTGTAACTGCCAAACAACTATCAAAACACTCGTGTGACTTTGTCCTTTTTATTACAAAACAAGCTCTGCCCCTGGTTTAGGTGGGAGCCTAAAATATAGATAGGACCTCACCACAGACTTGAGTAATCACATAGAAATAATTGGAGCCATGTTAGCCATAACATAACATGAGGTATGCCAAATAAAGCATTGCATCACCCTCTCCCAGCAAGACAGCCAGATTATGAGAGTATAAACACAAGGGAATATGGATATTTGTCCTGCTGTGGCCTTGTGAAAGGATGAGATCCTACTGTACTGAAACTCTCACAAGAAAGTGAAATGTAGTGAATGAAGAAAACATTACGAAAAGGCCAATTTCTCTAACTAACATGGTTTGAGAGAGGAGAAATAAAGTGAACAATTTCTTTTATGGGGGATTTTGATTGCTGCTGGGGTTTTCTTTTTTATACACATGGCAGTGTGAGATAATGAGTAACTTAGGCACATATAAAGTTAATAGTATAAATTAAGTCTGTCTTAAGGAGACATACATGCTCCGTGGTAACCTTTGACTCACATACTGTAATTGCGGGACAAGAAAGTTGTACATTTACATTTACACAGGTCAGAGCCAGATGTGAAGTTTGAATGTCAACCTCTATAGGATATTACTTTAGCAACTTTATAGCCTGGCTATAAAGAAGCCAAACTAACAATTCATCAGTCTGTCCAAGTAACACAGTTTATCATGTTAGACTTGTTAGAAAAACTAGTAAGGTACTATATAAAGTGTATTTTGGTTAAATTGAAATCAAATCAAATTTTTATAATCACTTCTGTCATCAACTGTGCCCAGATAATAAGTAACATAATCAGTGAGAGAGGACTACATACTGTTAAGTAATTAACATGAAATTAAATAAAATCAAGAATGCCTTAAGTCTTGATATTTGCAGTAGTTAATCATTATACAATCTATCTATGTGGAAGAATCAATAAACATTCCTGCCAAATTAGTCTGTTAAATTGTAGTTTTTCCTACTTAAATTATTAATGTATTTTCCTCTCATCTTTCATCTCATAAATGTGCCCTGCTTTTATGTTCAGAGTTTATGTTTTATCCACACTTGAATTTAAAGACGGGTGTGTTCAGTTTAAAGATGACCAATCTATGGGCCACAGTAAAAATGAAATGAGGTGCAACCCAAAAAGCAGTAATAGGGGCTACTAACTAAGTACTAACTATATGGAAGTACCAGCACCACAGTGGTCACAGAAGGCAACAGAATGAACAAAAATATGAAATCATGACAAAAACATGGAGAAAAACAGAGGGTGGATTTGTTACGTCGTGTTGCCGCTCCCTACTGAGCCTATGTACAAATATACATATACAAAATATATATGACACAAAATGCTCTCTGATGTGCGATCTGAGCTTGACACCCGTTTGCACGCAGGCAGGGGTGAAACTGAGACAGCTTGAATTGTGAGAAAACAAGACAGTGACCTGTTTACCTCCTCATGAAGAGAGGGATGGAGGGAGAGAGAGAGAGAGAGAGAGAGAGAGAGAGAGAGAGAGAGAGAGAGAGAGAGAGAAAATTCAAAGCTTGCCTCATTCCCATAAAGAGGAAGGTATGCTTCCAGGGAAACTGAATACTCCTCTGTATCCTTGAATCTCTCATGTATACGCTCACTGTCTCACACACACCCACCCACAGGAAACACGCATACACATTTGATCCCAAGGATAACAGCCACACCTAAGACCACTGGCTAATTTTAGATGTGATTTAAGGGTTCAAACTGCATCAGTAGTTGCCCTCATCCGTCACGCACACTTGATTGCACACGAAAGACGGCCACTGAATCACATACGCTGCAATGTAAAAAGTTTACTTTGGAAGTTACTACACACACTCCAACACCTGACTAGGGATCATTGTGCAGGTTATTGTAAATTGACCTCATCTGTTGTGTTCTAAGATTCAAGTGGTCTCTATATATATAAGGCAACTGGCTATTTTTAGCTCACACGCCGGGGTTCCCACACATTTTCCATTGCAAGATTTCGTACTTTTCCTGACTGAAATGACCAGACTCAGAACATATTTGACATCTGAGTATAAATAGCTAGATTTATTATGTAAACAAATGGTTTTAGTCCAACTGTATGCTATTATGTTGCCAAGTAATTGCCAGAAGATTGTAGCTTGGTATTGTAGCTCATAGAAATCAATTAACACGCAACAACTCTGTCTGTGCAGCCTTGTTTATTCACTGTGTCCATGAAAACAACAATGAATGCCATAAAGCTATGGTTTCCCCAATCAGAAGGTCTGTATACTTTTCTAATAATTACATCACTGTATAACTATTAATATTTGGTTAAATGCTGCACTGGCTTCTTGTTCCAAATGCCATGAAAAACTCTTCTCTTCTTGTAAGATCAATTTATTTTTAGAAATTCTGAATTTTGTATTTTAGAAAACAGAATAGGGACAGCAGTCTGGGAACACAAATATTTCCCCATATTCTCTTTTCTTTTTTCCATACTTATCCAGACCTGTAACTTCTATATTTTTCCATACTGTGTAAGAACCCTGACACATACACAGTACACACACACACACACACACACACACACACACAAAGCCACACAGTACACAGGTCAATTGAGGTTTCTCCCTTCCTCTGCTCCCTGCTGTTTGAAAGCCTCCACCCCTAAGGTAAAGACTTGTGTTTCTATATGAGGAGACATATTTAGTCACTTAGTTGATTGGGCAAGGAACCGCCTCAAATGATGTCACTGGCTCAGGTGTTTTCTGTTTGCTCTACTCTAACCTGAAGTGGAATTCACCTAAGCCCAAAAAAGAAACTAAAGTCACCATGACTGACTCAGACCGGTTTGAAAAACACACTCATGAGCCCTCTTATGAAAACAGAATATGTTAGTGTTGGGTCCATTCCACCTTCCACCCTTTCATCAGCTCTAAAGACCACTTGTGTTGTTTGTACGTGTGTGTTTTGCACTGTCACACTCACACATCTCCTTGCACCAGTCCGTATACACTGTGTATGGTCCATCCGAAGCCGCCAAGCAAGACAATGACCAGAACAATGATGACCACAGCAGGAAGTCCCCAGCCCAACAGGAAGTAGAGCAGGTATCGACGCTCTGTGTGCTCGTCATTCATCACCAGCACTTGCCAGAAGTTCACTGCCTGGGGACACAATTTGAGAAAACAGCTTGTGTACAGGAATGTGAACAGAAAAACAGATATGTACCAAGATGGCAACACCTTCATGGATTATATTATTTATGTTGTGAGGAAAGGCAAAATGTTTGGACTTTGGAAGGATTTGTTCATCTTTTTTTCCTTATGAGGACATTTTGTCTTGATAGTGAGTGAATTACTAAAACACACACACATACAACCACACTTTTATCTCACCCACAATAGCTATATTTGTTTTGTAATCTAGCAGGCCTCAATAGCCTCATCCATCTGATGCACTAAGCCCTGCATTATTACATAAGCAGTATTTCAGCACCTGTTGGTTGCGACACAGACACAGCGTCTTATCCCTGTGTAAAGACCTCAGCAGACATTCACATATCTTTCAGACAGTTTTTAACTGCTGCACTGGTGAAAATAAAAGGGCAAAGGTTAATATTAAGTCATTGTCAAAGCCAAAACATGGTAGCTTTACATTTTGCAATCAAACTTGCAAGCTATGGTCCAAAATTGAGGACCGTTACTCCATCCAGCTTCATTAAGATCATACTTTTTACAGCCTATAAGATTAAACTTTTTTTAAAAAAAAGAGAAAAGATTAAGGCATTATCGGCGAAGCAATCAAAGCTCCTTCTTCTGTTCAAAGTAATAAACATTATGCAACAGCTATTGTGAATAACAGCTGATGATGTTTGTGACTGTCCATCTGTCTGCGAACACTTAAGCAGGACATTAGCACGGAGGGCACTGTGATGCAACTAATGACAGGAGTTTGAGGGATGCTGACCTCTTCCTCAGATAACCTCTGTCTCCTCCATAACCGTAACAATATTGTATAACCACTGACACAACAAACATTGCTTCAACAAACAACACACAGACACACGTATGCAGCACACAAAACTACACTTCAGTTGTATAACAGGTTGACTGCACTGCACTAAGACAATGCCATGATGTCGGTCAGATTCAAGGACTGCCTTTCCTTGGCTGTGAGCAGGCTGGAGCCGTTGAGGTAAAGGGGGGGAGTAAAGGGATTATTGGTAACTTTGAGCCGTTGTTGTTGCCTCTGCAGTGGCTGCATCCCTCACTGACTATTGCTACTGCAGTCTAAGAATAAAGCAGTGTTTTACCAGGCTAAATGCCTAAGATACGGATCAATACGCTTGGTGAGTAGCTGGCTTGATGATTGGTTTTATTGCCATGTTAACCGTTTAAAGATTTGGTTTAACCAAATTACAAGTCTTTTGTAATCTAGTGGTATCTAGACATGCAAATGACCCAAACGACAGGCCCTATCCACAGTCAGTGTTTGGTTTGTCTGTTCTGGTCTAGTGTAGAAACATGGCAATATAAAAGGCTCATTCTAAGGTAATGAAAACATAATGATTCTTATTTTCAGGTGATTGTACACTAATGAAAACAAAGGTATGCATATTATATTCCATTTCTGCCGAATCCTCCCTAAATGGACACTGGACCTTTAAGTGTGATTAAAGCAGCAATGTTGGGAAACTCACCACCTGTATGTCCAGCCACCTGGCAGGTTGACTGATGACCATTGGGGGCCACTTATCCATCCACTATCACAATCAAATACATTTGTCTCCTGGCTAAAACACTGGCAGGTATCGTCTAACTACAAAGCAGTGCAATTGGCAACCCAGGTTTGGCTAACTAGCACACTGAATCAAGGTAGATATACACTGTAGGGCAGTGCTAAGGCTTTAGCAGCTCTTTCCTGGCTGAAATAGTAGTACAGTATTGTTATGTAATATTATAACATGTAGTTTCTCAGTAAGCTG